GAGAGAGAGAGAGAGGGGGGGGTGGAGGGGGGGGAGAAGAAGAAGAAGGAGCAGAGGAAAAAGCAGTGATTTTAACGTGTTTATTCAGTTAGTAATTTTGGGCTATGTAGGCCTACCCATCGTTTTCGGTAAAAAGTCTACCTTTTATTTAAATATTATTGGCAGCAATAAAATACAACATACCCCTAGCGGGACAAACACGCATGCGCATTAATGTTGTTATATAGACAAATATAGATAATACTTTATTTAACCTGTCCCATTTGTTATAATAACCCTGAACAAAAACTACATTTTCTATCAAAAGCGTCATTTACATAAACACGAATAAGGAAATGATATATATCATTTAACCCATCATAGCTGAAATTCCAGTTTCGGGACCAAAATTCCCACTGGCTGATATTGAGAGTTAATGACACGGCCAGCGTCCAAGTGGACAGTTAGATCGCGCTATCTTAATCAAGGGCGGTATGCTAATGAGGACGCTCCTTCTGGGTTCACTATCTGATCTCACCTCTTCGAGGCTTATACATGTTATGTTCAAATGCTGTAGTAAAAACAGCGTGGCGCAGATATGTATCGCGGTAATAAGCTTGACGAGAGAGCGGACCTGGAGGCAAAAAATATTGCGACACCTTTAAGCAGATCTCTCTTCATCTGTGGCAAATTGAGACATTTACATCTGGTAGTTAGTTCGAAATGAATAAAGAAATGAATAAAGGACAAACAAACAAATACTTAAATAAAAAATAAAGAGGCAAACTCTCGACAAGCACCCTCTTTTCATTTCACGTCATACGATTCAAAAATAAATAAATAAATAAATAAATAAATAAATTAATGGATAAAGAAATTAAGGAGTGGATTGATAAAAAAAGACCATTCGAAATAGTGCACATATTTTTTTCACGCTGATTTCGGGCCACGCCCTCCCTCCTTCGAGTGGCAAGTACCAGCAATGTAAGAACAGAAGTGTATCTGCTTTCGTAAGATTTTTAAAATATTTTTTTGTGATCTTGAATCAATTTACACTGCGTTGGCGTCAGTTGGTTCTTTTATAATTCGCTCTATGCAAGATTAATTTAAAGATGGGAATAACTTTGTTTTAGATGTTTTTATCTTGGATAGAGGCCGTATATTCAGTGGACTATTCATCACAGATGAAAACTGCTTGATCATCAAAACTGTCAAAGCAGATGTTGCAGTAAACATCCACACTGCGTCATCAACAAATGACTCACTATTTTGGCATCATATTCAAAGGATGAGACGTTAAACGGATCCTCTAATTTCTGCAGGCGATATCTCGCTCTTTTATTCTGCCAAAACGTGTTCCGATGACACATTTGAGTGCAGAAATGGCTCGAAAGAGTGAAAAAAAGAATAAAGATGCAACTGGTATGGTGGCTCGTTTGTATCCTCGTAATTAGAATATGAATAAACAGGGTCAGTGCAGAAATACAGTATAACCGAGCTGCCACCCTGGTATATGTATATAACCAATGGAAATGTGTGTTAACAAATATGCTACTGGAACTACACATTAAAAGACCTGTGGGCATCGTTATATAATCCCGTCGTGTACTTTTTAATTTTCCTATGTATCTTATCGTACATTCAGCTCTTTCACAAAAAAACAAATCGAATATCAGTGTTTTCTCTCTCCGTGCGTTTTTATAACACCTTTTACTGTTTCGGTGAATTTTATCAACAAAAAAGATACGGAAGGTCTATTCATCAAAATGACCTGACTAAATTATAAACACAACTGAGTTTATGTAAAAACTTACCCGTATAGTAAAGCCGCGCCAGCTATACTCCCGCCGCACTGCGCTAACACGTAACCAATGCCCCGGACAACGGAGATTTTCGACGTAACAACGGTTGCTATGGTGATGGCTGGATTTAGGTGTCCACCAGAAATGTGTCCGAAGCAGACCTGTAGGGTGGTGTAGGCAAGTCCGAAACAAAGCGCCACTCTCACGATATAAAAATTGGCATCATGTGAGGAGTTTGCCGTTAAAGTTTCGTGGGTCCATTGCGACGTCGCTTCCGTCGTCCCTGCGTCACCAGCGTTGCTAACGTATCCGCTGGATACGTCTGACGTTGCGTTCTGTGCGTACACGTCCCAGCGTAACGTGGAGGCGCACCCCAGCAGCACATAGAGCAGTGTAGCTATGCATTCGCTGATAACGGCACGCCAGAATTCGATGTTCCCCAGTTCTTTTTTCACCTCGGTAAATTTAGCGGCCACTTGTGGGTGCGGGCGAGGTGTTTTTGATTGCTTTCCTCCACCCTGTCTGAATTTCGCTGGCAGAAGGACTCCGTCCATCTTGACTGGCTAACCAGTGAATGCCCTGTTAAACCACGATGTACTATTCTAGTGGGAATAAGGGCGTCGTTCTCAAGAAACCTTAAACGGCCTGGACAGTCTTGTAATTAAGAATCTGTCGAATGGACTCTGAACATGAAGATACCGAGTAATTACTTCGTTTAAATCCTCGTCCTCATACTAATTAATGTATGCGATTAATTTGGTTCAAATCAAACAAACTATGCACCTGTGCTAAGGGAACGGTTGATCCTGTCAGGAGAATTCGGCGACGCTGTCAAAACATAAAACGACTTACGGGTAGAGATCCTTATTCATCTCCCAAAGGAAACTGGTACACTTCGGAAGTTAACTAGTTTTCAACCTTGCTCCAGCACTGACGCTGGTTGACGTGCTCGGACAGCTGTGACCAACACTAATAACACCAGCACACCTTGCAACTTAATTAACTCGGGTAATTAGCCTGAATTAAAACATCACCGAGTTACGCAACGGTAGCATCCACGCAGCGGGGGTTGTTACTGCAGCACCTAGCACTTTGTATAGCTCTGACAACGCCGCGTGACTTTATGTATAGGGAACGCTCACCTCCTTTTCCGGGCGTTAATGACAGTGATCTATCGGACCGTGGTAAAGATGACAAGGGATGATATGCAGACCATTTCAACCTCGACTCGTAGTCACAATATGAATAAATCACACCGTATAGTTACGGCAATGCTGATTACTGACGAGATAGCTTAATATAGAATTCACCATCACATCTTTGGCTACGTGTATTGAAATTTATTGAATAGACATGAAGTCTCTGTATTCTTTTATTGTTCATTTAGCGTTGTATGACTTCTATTGTTATGTATACTACACTAGCGTACATGTATTGTAAACATTATTATACGTATGTAGTAAATATTTCAAAATGTGCATACCAAGAATATATATGATAGTGAGCTCGAAAGTATGACTAACCCTGCGTTCAGTGCAATATTATTCAACGTGAAGAGGAAAACGATATAAAGGTTATCAATTACGAAAATAAATCGCACTATTTTTTTTTTATTTAAGTCAGATTGTAACAGCTAGAAGGGCTTTTGGTAGAGCCTGCAGACGTCATACAACTTGGTCCCGTATCTGAAAAGCGACCGTCTTAGGTGACAACGAATAACAGTAAGAATCAACTAAATAAGTGCACTTTCCATGCATTTTTCACAAAGACTGAGAAAATAATAAAATTTTAATAAAGTATTTTATGTTTTAATAAAAAAATACCAACTGATCGTATCGCACGCGCGACGTGTGTGTGTGTGTGTGTATGTGTGTGTGCGCGCGAGAGAGAGAGAGGTGTGTCCTGGGGGGTAACGGGGGGGGGGGAGGCCATCATTTTGAAGTGCACCGATGTTGATGCACAAAAATTGTCAAACAAGTGCTGGTATTAATCATTAAGAGTTATGTCACAGACGGTTGTGGAGAGCTAATAATTTAGGTGAAAACGTCAAACACGACAAAATCAGATTCGATAAAAGATATATTTGTGGATTTCTGCAAAAGGTTTACAAAAACGAGGAACATGTAGCTGTACGTGTTCAACTGAAATCAAACCAAGTTGATTTCAAACAAATTGGCATAACATATAGTATAAAAATAATGTACCTGTAAAGCAAAATATAAAGAATTTTGATAACGATGTACTAGTACACGCATTGCTGCACTACATGGTGTGGTGTCAAGCACTTAGCAGAATGTATAATTCAGCTTCATCACAGATAATAGAAAAGTATTTAGTAGTAAAAATCACAAAAATTACTCAGTTCTCCACAACCCAAGTTTAAAAGCTGACAGTTTTTTTTTTTTGTTCCATCGCCTCAGCACTCTCTTTGTTTGTTATATTCTTCCATCCGATCCTCCCGCCCATCTTCCCATTCCTGCAATGCATCCTGGGGTAGAATGCACCTCATGACCTCTCTCATCAAGTGATCACAGTCTCCAAACACCCTGGAACCGACCTGACTACCGTTGGCGACATCTGGTTCATAACACAAGGCATCCATAGGCGTGGGCTGCCTGGAATAGAGTTCACAGAAAAGGACAATAAATTGGCAATCCATTTCATAAAATCGAGAACAGCAAAGCAACTCTTAATCTAAATAATGGGTCATTATTTCTTTTTAAAAACTTCTTTTAAAATTACAAAAGTACATTTTGGCATCTTGCTTGATAAGGATTCCGTACTGAACTCTTCACCGTTAGATCTATATTAGTTTCTTTGAACTATTGGTGGACAGCTTTTCATTGCAGCTGTATCC